TGATCATTATATGTTGTCATAAATGTTTGTTGTAGGCTTAGGTTAAATAAATCAGTGCAAGTTGTAAATCGGTAAATTGGCCGTTTAAAGGCAAATTGGATGGTTCCACCTACCCAATTGGACTGCCGGAGGTTATTAGAGACCATGGTTAATATTTCGGCAATTTTATTTCCGTGCGAAAAAATTCAACAAATTCAAAAATTAAAGGCTAATATCTACGCTTTTAGAGAAATTTAGGAGTCTTCAGGGCCCGGTGTCTAAAACTCTTGAAAATCTATGGAATACATCTCGGGGTCTTATAATTTCGTATGGAACCATATATGATCATTATTTGTTGTAATAAATGTTCGTGGTAGGCTTGAGTTAATGAAATCGGTGCAAGTTGTAAACTGGTAAATTGGGCGTTTAAAGGCAAATTGGATGTTTCCACTCACCACATTGGAATTCCTGGGGTATTATGAACCATGGTAAACATTTCGACAATTTTTATTTCTGTTCGAAAAAATGTAGAAAATTCCAAAATTGAAGGCTTAATATCCATGCTTTTTGAGAAATTCCGAATGTTTCGGGGCCCGGTGTCGAAAAGAAATGTGATTTTAGGGGATACATCTCGGGTCATAAAATGCCATTTGGAACCATAAATGATCATTATATGTTGTCATAAATGTTCGTGGTAGGCTTGAGTTAATGAAATCGGTGTAAGTTGTAAATCGGTAAATTGGTCGTTTAAAGGCGAATTGGATGGTTTCACCCACCCAATTGAACTCCCGGAGGGTAACAGGGACCATAGTAAAAATTTCGGCAATTTTTATATCCGTGCAAAAAAAAAAGTCAAAAAATTCCAAAATTGAAATCTACACTTTTTAAGAAATTTGCAATGTTTCGAGGCCCGGTGTCGAAAAGTTTTGAGACTTTAGGAGATACATCTCGGGGTCATATAATTCCGTTTGGAACCATATATATGATCATTATATGTTGTCATAAATGTTTGTAGTAGGCTTGAGTTATTTAAATCGGTACAAGTTGTAAACCGGTAAATTGGTCGTTTAAAGGCAAATATGATAGTTCCATCCACCCAATTGGACTTCCGGAGGATATTAGTGACTATGGTAAACATTTCGGTAATTTTTATTTTCGGGCAAAAAAAATAAAAAATTCCAAAATTAAAGGTTAATATCCACGCTTTTTGAGAAATTTTGGAGGTTTCGAGGCCCGGTGTCGAAAAGCCTTAAAATTTTAGGGGATACATCTCGGGGTCATATAATACCATCTGGAACCATATAGGATCATTATATGTTTTCATAAATGTTCGTTCATGGTACGCTTGAGTTAATGAAATCGTTGCAAGTTGTAAACTGGTAAATTGGCCGTTTAAAAGTAATTTGGATAGTTCCACCCACCCAATATGACTCTCGGAGGGTATTAGGGACCATGGTAAACATTTCGGCAATATTTATTTACGGGCGAAAAAAAAGTCAAAAAATTCCAAAATTAGAAGCTAATATGAGCGCTTTTTGAGAAATTTTGGAGGATTCGTGGCCCGTGTCGAAAATCCCTGAGATTTTAGGGCCGGGGATGCATCTCGGGGTCATATTATGCCTGTTGGAACCATAAATGATTATTATATGTTGTCATAAATGTTCGTGGTAGGCTTGAGTTAATTAAATCGGTGCAAGTTGTAAACCGATAAATTGGTCGTTAAAAGGAAAATTGGATGGTTCCTCTCACCCAATTGGACTCACAGAGGGTATTAGAGACCATGGTAAACATTTCGGCAATTTTTATTTTTTGACGAAAAAACTTAAAAAATTCCAAAATTGAAGGCTAATATTCATGCTTTTTTAGAACGTTTGGAGATTTCAGGGCCTAGTGTCGAAAATGCTTGAGATTTTAGGGGATACATCTCGGGGTCATATAATGTCGTTTGGAACCATATATGATCATTATATGTTGTCATAAATGTTCGTGGTATGCTTGAATTAATGAAATCGGTGCAAGTTGTAAATATGTAAATTGGTCGTATAAAGGCAAATTGGATGGTTCCACCCACCCAATTGGACTCCCATATGGCATTAGAGACCATGGTAAACATTTCGGCAAATTTTATTCCCGCGCGAAAAAAGTAAAAAAGTTTCAAAATTGAAGGCTAATATCCACAATTTTTTAGAAATTTTGGAAGTTTCAGGGCCCGGTGTCAAAAAATCTTGAAATTCTACGGGATATATCATTGTTCATATAATGCCGTTTGGAACGAACCCTATAAGATAATTATTTGTGGTCATAAATGTTCGCGGTAGGCTTGAGTTAATAATGAAATCGGTGCAAGTTGTAAACCGGTAAATTCGTCGTTAAAAGGCAAATTGGATGGTTCCACCCACCCAATTGGACTCACAGAGGGTATTAGGGACCATGGTAAACATTTCGACAATTTTTATTTGTGGGTGAAAAAAAGTCAAAAAATTCCAAAATTGAAGGCTTTATCCACGCTTTTTAAGAAATTTTGGAGGTTTCGGGTCGAGCTGTCAATTCGGGTAAATGGGTCTGGTTTGGGTCGGTAAGAGTGATTCGGGTCAACTCTGGTCAGTTCAATTCAGATTAATTCCATAACCTATGCGGGTCGGGTTTGGGTTGGGTCATGCTTGAGTCATCACGTTGGGTCATACTTATTATCGGGTTTGGGTCGAGTTTAGGTCGGGTTAATAACAGGTCAGGTTACATTCGGGCCGGGTTAAAATAGGTCTAGTTTAATTCGGATTTTCACGGGTTAAAACAGGTTAGGGTAATTCTCGGGTTCGAGTCGGGTTCGGTTCTAGTCAATAATTTGCGGGTTAGAATTAGGACGTGTCATTCTTGGGTTTGAGTCGAGTTTGGTTCAAGCTAATAATTTGCGGGTGATAATCAGGTCGGGTCATTTTCAAGTCGGGTCATTATCGGGTTCAAGTCGGGTTCGGTTCAAGTCAATAATTGCGGGTTATAATCAGTTTGGGTCATTTCCAAGTCGGGTCATTCTCGAATTCAAGTCGGATTATGTTCAAGTCAATAATTTGCAGGTTACAATCAGGTCGGGTCATATTCGGGTTCAACTAAATATAAATAGATAATTATCATTTTTATCAAGCTAATTTTTTCCTTTGACTATAATATATATATATATATATATGTATGTATGTATATGGTAATATATTAGGGAGCTATAGTCTATAATTTAGAAAGAAAATTATCTCCTTTAACCATATAACAAATATATACTATATTTAACTCTTAAATTTGCGGATGACACTCCTTTCTTTTGCTGGCCTGGACCGACTTGGTCTCCCTAGACAAAATGCTTTGATCAACAATAATAAGATGGTCTAAATTGCATTTAAGGTGATTTGAAATTAGGTCAGGAACAATTTGGGTTGAATAAAGGTTGGGTCAATAACAAGTCGTGTTGAATTGAATCGGGTTAGTAACAGATCGGGTTGAATTTTTGGGTCGGGTTAGGTCTGGTAAAATTCGGGTCGGGTAAATAACAAGTGGGGTTGAATTTGGGTCAGGTCAATAACAAGTCGGGTTGATTTCGGGTCGGGTTTGTAATAGGTTGGGTTAAATTCGAGTCGGGTTAGGAACGGGTCGGGTTCAATTCAGGTCAAGTTAGTAACAAGTCACATTAAATTCGGGTTTTGACAGGTTAAAACGGGTTTGGGTCAATTGTGGTTCAAGTCGGGTTCGGTTCAGGTCAATAATTTATGGGTTACATTCGGATCGGGTCATCTCCAAGTCAGTTCATGTTCGGGTTCGGGTCTCACATACTCGGGTCAACTAGGGTCTAGGGTTGGTTTCAGGTCGGGTCAGGGTCACCACTTTTTCGGGTTCTAATGGGTCGGTTAATAATTGGGTTTGAGTCGATATTTCGGATCAGGTCAACTTTTGACAGCTCTAAATATTATTCATCATGATTATAAAAGTATTAGAGTATGTATATTTGAAAAAATCCCAACATTAAAAGTTAGAACAAGTGTATGTCAACTTGCTATCGTTATGGATGATGTGTTCTTTAACTTGATAGAAACTTGTTGAGAGATAAATGCTCATTCAATAGTTTAAGTTACTAGATAAGAGCTCAATACGATCATACTTAGTATAAGAGAATATAATAATCTTTGGAACTGGTATGGTGTTGGAATCGGGAATGAAACTACAGTGGTATGAGTTTAGAACTTGATTTTTAATACCATAGGTTTGGTATGATTATGAAATGCAATTTTTTTTCTTTTATTTGATACCTAAAAGTATGTGAATGAGCCAAACCCACCTCCCCCCAAGGTTTCTAAACCCCATATCTTGGGGGTTTGAGGTATGGATTTGAAACTCTTAAAATCATAAAACAAAATTATAAACTCATATCTTATACCTTAATTATGTGAACCAAACATCCCATCTAAAAGTATAGTTTAATGAAACAATCTAATGATTATTATTAATTATTAATTATGTTCCAATTTATATACTCAGTATAGTTTAATGAAGAATATACCAAATTCTATTTATCATTTAAGGTACACATCGACCATTCCCATCTAAAAGTACACTGCACTTCTGTTAGGTCCCGTTGTATTTGTAAAGGACTAAAGGATAATAGTGATCTTATACAGTATTCACCTTATTTTTGTTCGAATAATATTTTGTATAAGATAAGTTCAAATAAATTCTATGAAAAATAAAGTAAACAAATTTATGCAATTTCACTTTAAACAATACAAACAATCATTGAAAATTTTAATTAAACAACATATTTATGCAATGTAATTTTAATTAACAAAAAAATTAAGCTAATACTCCAAAATCAACCAATAGCACCCATGTGGATGTGGCAATGTGATGAAGCACCCCTTTATTTTATGTTAATCCATATTAAATTTGTGATTTTTTAAATCTAATACTCGTATATAATAATTCATATAAATATAAGTACTTATTTTTATTTTTTTTAAAATAATGATCTACTGAAGCTGAAGTTTTGATCTGGGCAGCCAGCAAAAACTTCCAATTTTCAACAGCTTACCATTTCCTATGCAGTGAATGACTCCTGAAAATAAATTTATAAATATTAAAAAAAAATATTTAAAAATTTTCCAACCAATATAAATTATTAGTGCTTCGTATTAGTTAAATAATTAAGTAATGTGCTACAGTTGTAGAAAAATCAGGAACAATTCATAAACCCGAATCTCGTCATTGTTGCAGCTACTAGAGGAGGAAGCAAGTTCAGCTTCAATGGGTGGTGATAATCTTCCTTGTTCTACCTCTGGTATTATCTCTCTCTTCTTCCTTTGTTCAAAGTTTTCATTTTTTTTAATTGGGGTGTTAGGCAATGTAGATGGGTTTTGATCTCGGGCCGGTTTTGGATACCATCCCGAGACTTGAACCAACTAAGCTAGTTCGCATCCACAAAGCTTCAATCATTTTTATTCAAAATTTAATCTTGTTTGTTTAATTGTTTAAAGTTGTAATTTTGTGTTAATGGGGTTTTATTGCAATTTTGAATATTTCCTTGTTTGAATTTGAAACAGAAGAGGAATTATCATCCTTGGATTATGATTACCCAGATTATTCAGTTCATCCTTCCTCATTTTACAGGTAATTGATTGTTTGATAGGGGATATTGAGTAATTTTAGTAAATTATGATGGTTTAATAGTTTTGTTGTTTGGCTGAATGTTGATTTTATTAAGGGGTTTTGTTGGTTCAGGGATGGTGATGAATCAATCAGTGAGTCATATGAATTTGTTTTTAAAGAATTTGATGAAGTGAGTCATGGAAATTCTTCAAATTCGGTTGTATTTGATGGAAATTTGAGGAGAAGGAAGAATGCTTACAATGAGATTATGAAGAATTATGATGAATTGTGGGTTCGAAAAGAGGGACTTTATCAAGCAAAGAGTAAAATTTTGAGGTTTGTTCTCTTTAGTATTATTTGCTTTGTTTATGTATACTGCTTCAGATTTTTGATGGATTATCCGATTAAAATTTTCTACTTTGATATTTTGTGTTTTGTCAAGCGTGAAAGTCAAAGTCTTGTAACTAAAAAGTTGAGCAAAAAAACTATTGATTTAAGGTATTTTTGAAGTTGAATTTTGTGTTGCTTGCTTATACCTTCCTTGGTATAAGGGATTAGTCCTTGTTCGTTTCATAGTAGCACTATATTTAGTATTGGATATTTCAGAAGGGATTAGTCCTTGTTAGTTTTAAATATTGGAAAAGTCTCTCATCTTTGGGAGCACCTATTGATCCCTTCTTTTCACTAAAGTATGACTATTTAACCCCAAAGTCTCCATCTAATGGTATTTACTCTTTGGATTGAGATCCTTGATCAATCATTAGGGTTATGCTATCAATCCATAGGTTAAATATTTCTTTTTAGGACTAGTACTAGTATGAGTAGCTCATTGTTGATTTATTAACTGGATGGTGTGGTTGTACTTAAGATACAATCATTGGGTCGTACATGTTTGGCAGTGCCTTAGATAGTTGTTGCAGCTCACTAGCTTAGTGGTGCCTTAAGTAGCTCTAGTGATACTTACAGCCTTAAATGGGTTGTGGTGGCTGTGATACTTGTGAGTCTTGTGATGAACAGATTTATCCAAGTCCTTGGGAATCAGCTAGGTCATTGTTCATTACCTCATGGTATCAATTACTCACTTCGTGTCGTAATAATAAACACGTTCATTTGTGCACAAACTTTAAGAAAATGTTGAGTGGGGAATTTTAAGTTTTAAGTGAGTTGTTTGATATAAAGTAAAGTTAATGGAATCATTCTAAATTGTATAAAATGAGACATGCGAGAACGGGAAAAAAAATATATAATTGTCATAGTTGGTGAGATAGAAACATAATGGTGGGTCATGTCCAAATAAGGAACAGTGACAGTTATTCTGAAGCTTCCACAAGAGGGAAGTGTATCAATTATTTTGAAACAAAGGGAGTGCTTTGTATAAACCTTTCCCTGTAGTGCAGTTGTATTTTTGAAATTGGATGTATGTTTTTTGTTTCAAGAAGAAATCTCATTTGCATGGGTGGGTGAAGTGGATATGTGAAAATATGAGATACTGAGATAACCTAGGAGCAAGAAAAGAGAAGAGAGTTATTTAACAAACCTCCACTAAGTGAGGAAATTGAACATTCATCTTGGATAAATCAACAAATTTTTGCAGCTACAACCCTGGTTCATGGATCACTAATGCTGGTGGGAAGAAGCTCAGCAATTATGTTATACCAAAAACGACCACGCTCTTACTAATTGGTCCTACAGGATCTGGGAAAAGCAGTTTGGTTAACAGAATATCAAGAGTTTTTGAAGATGACAAGTTTGCTTCAGAAAGAGCCCAAGTAACATGTATTGTCAGCTCCCCTGTTCCTTTATGTGATTTGACCCCCACTTTTTTTCTCCATATTTTACTGCTACTAGTTTGCTGCAATCAGAAGAATGATACATGAAGCTCACTATTTGGTTGTTTATGTCAGATAATCCATCTACCGGGGAGGGGACCTACTTCCTTCAGGAATATATGATTCCCAGAGGTTCAACTTCATTTTGTTTGTTTGATACTCGTAGCTTGTCGGAGAATTTTGCTGATAATGATGAAATACTTCAGCGTTGGATGACCAAAGGGGTTCGTCATGGAGAGTTAGTTATCAGGTATGATAATTTGATATGGTACTGACATTGCTTCACCAGGATGAATAATATAATACGACTCTGTCTTGGTGCTTTGGTGTAGGGATTCAGATGCTTCTAACCTGAAGATGTCATTAAAATGCAAGGCTCAACAGAGTGGTGTTTCTTCCACTGTGATCAGAAAGGTCAACTTTGTTATATTTGTTGTTAATGGCTTTCAAGTCCTCAGATCTATGAATAGTGACAAGAAAGAAGACAAGGCGTATGTGGAAATGGTGGCCAAGACTTTTAGCTGCCCATATTTGTCATTCAAAGGTATTGATGCTCTTGAATTTATTGGATGTATCAGCTTATATGTGTGTATGTAATTTGCATGTTCATGCATGGTCTATCTTGGTTTAAAGAAGTGTATGAGATTATTTAATGACTAAATGATGGAGTATAATTCAAGGTGTTTATGTACTAAGTATTTTCCTTGTAAAAGCACGGAAAAATGAGAAATAAAAATGCCATACTGCAATGTTAAACTAAATTGTAAACCTCTACATTCTGGTTGATGCACTATACATTTGTTGCATATATTAAAATCTAGCTTGGATGAGCAACTGCTCTTTTGGTTTGGTTTCTGCTTTCTCTTGGTCATGTTTTTATCATCCTCTTGTGCTTTGTTATTTTGTATAATACATGGTTTGTGTTGATCATCTTGCTCGACAAAGTTCTCATAAGGATATGCATGTATTCCACCCTATACTGTCAACTTCTTGTTGCTTCTCTCTCGATTACGTGCAGTATATTGCCCCTCAATAGATACAGAGTTAATCACCAGTAACTGTGTTTTTTCTAACTGCAGATGATAAGCCTGTTATTGTAGTCACACATGGCGATTTACTTTCTCTAGGAGACCGAGCACGTGTCCGCGTTTACTTAGGAGAGAAGTTGGGTGTACCACCAGCAAAACAGATATTTGACATACCAGGTAATGACTTAGAGTAGATGGCCTTTCTTTGAAAAGAAAATAGTGTTTGTCAAGAAAATTACTTAAAAGAAAACTCTTTACAGATAACTTCGATCCAACAAGTGAACTGACAATTGTTGACATGATAAGATACTCTTTGGAACACGCGGACAAAAATATTCCTTGTAAAGAGTCTAGAGAATGGATTAACAGGAGTACTATCTTTGTAGATGGTGTCAAAGAAAAGGTTAGATCCTATGCATTTTCATACCTGCATGGCTGCATTATAACTGTGTTCTTTGCTTCTTTTTCATTATCAAGTTTTTCTCTGCTGCTTGATTTATATAACAGTAAAACTTATTATTGCTAGAACTGATTCAGTCTTTGGCTATGACTCGGAGGCCTATAATTTATGAAGCTGGTGGCCTGTTTTGTTGTTATAATTTGTTCCTTTAGAGACTGGAGGTCTACTAGACCTTATTTCTATACACATGTTGTGCTGCACTATATTCAAAATTCTAGGACGTTTCAGTTCTGGTTGCCCTGGTCCTAATGCTTTTGGTTTTGATATTAGTTTTAGGAAGGTTAAAGTTATAAAATTGAATATCTTTAATACAGTACTTTACATTAGTTATGCATCGTAGATTTGAGCTAGCTTTAGTCTGTGGGTTATGGAAGAATATGTTAAAACTCTTGTGTCGGTGATCCAATCAACCTATGTGCTTTCCTTTAAGTTGGACATATAAAAGAAAACAGAAAACATGCATTCTCTAGTTTGATTAATTTGTACCTTCACATTATCATAAATAGGAAATTTTGTTAATAACCACTAAGTTTATACGAGGTACGAATAGTGGAAGAGTGGGACCATGGAGGGGTTAAATGAGGGAGAGGGAGACCGAAAATGACTTGGTTAGAAGGAGTTAAGAAGGATATGAAGTATATGGATTTGCATGAAGATGAGGCATTGGATCGTAATTTGTAAGGGATGTAGGAGGAAGATTTCTGTTGATGACTACGCAGAATAATCACTTTTAGTTCATGTAGCCAACCCCACTTATGGGATTAAGACTTTGATAGATTGATTGATTATTGAACTACCAAGTTTATATTCTGTTTTGAAAATAACTACCCTGTTTCAAAAAAAAAAAAAAAAAAAAAAAAAAAACCCAAATTTCTTCCAAAAGTTTTGGTAACACTACTTAAGATAAAATTTCATTCAAAATTTTAACGGTGCACGCTATACAACCCCACTTATTTGCCTATTTAAGCACCTAAACTCCTCCAACATTCATTATTCAATTTCCATCAATGCCCTTCCTTTTGGCCATATGTAGCTTTACTGCATTTGCCGTTATGATATGATGATAATGAGCATAATAAAAGTTTACATCAAGTTGAGAATGATGTGTAACAAAGAATTAAGAAGGAATGTGAGTGGAGCAGTGAGAGAAATGGTGAAAATGGAGAAGCTTTTGTGCAGTGAAAATGGTGATTAAGGCTCATGTAAGGTGTGGTGTAATGAAGGAGGGGAGAGAAAATGAAAGAGGTGGGTGATGAGCTAAATAAGGATATAAAGGGAATTTTACGTGATTTTTTTTCGAGAAGTCTAATAGGTGGGACCCTATAACATGAACTGTTAAGTATTTGGATGGAAAGTTACAAAAGGTAGTTTTACCAAAACTTTTGGAAGAAACTTGGTAGACTTATAAATTATTTTTAAAACAGGGTAGTTATTTTCAAAACTGACTTGAGTGTATAATAGTGAGATAACAGTTTCTTCGATTTGTTGACTTCCTATGTGATTTTGGAGTTTTGAGCTGGCAACGAATTGCATAGGTGCTTCTGCACAATTTTGGCCCAACGCAAATATAATCAATACAATAAAAACATTTTTTTTTAAAAAAAAAAACTCTGTTTTACTTGATGAGGACTTCTGGCATACTGGCATTACAAAGTACTACTTTAAGTTTGCTTGGGGTGTGCCATATGCCATCAATGTACTTGCTAGCATGACATGGTCCCATTTCCATTCTTATGAAGTTTAGTTGGAATTAAAGAAGTTATATGGATACCCCATCCATTTGGCAAAACTTTGTTTATTAGGATATATTTTGCCCTGAATAAAGATTACTTTATTAGTTCTTACCACTTGCATCTAGTTTGTGTAGAATGGCAATGCAATCTGATGTAAGATGGTTGAAAGTAGAAACTTTTGATCTTCTGATTGAATTGAGAGACTTCATATCCAATATTTATGTCCAAGCTGTATTTCCCCGGCTTTCTTGTGGTTCTAAATATGCCTCTAGTTACCATTTTGAGGTTAATTAAGCATTTTCAATTGCAGTTGCTATACATTGAACATTACCTAAATGCAGGTTTCAGGAACGTCCATCTTGACTCTGATATTTACAGTAATGCTTCTGGGAATAGCATGTGTTATGGTGCCAATGAATCAAGCTCATAAACATAATGATCCTCTGGTGGTATCTACAACAAAATTTTCTTCAAATGAAGTACATCGTCCTTATATACCTCGTGAACCTAATACAATATATCAGTCAAACTCAGTGTCAACCTCAGCTGCAAATCATTCTCATAAAAATCAAAGATATGAGAATGTGGAACCTCAAGCTACACCTGCGCCAACTTTGTCCTCAGAATCTGTTGGGGTGACATCTGAGCCAACTTCGTCCCCAAAATCTCTTGCAACTAATTCTGAACAAGTTTTGTCCTCAAAATCTGCTGCAGTTACATCTGAGCCAACATTGCCCTCAATAACTCTTGCAAGTGTTGCAACTGATTCTGAGGAAGCTTTGCCCTTGAAATCGGCCATGTCTGTATCTGAACCAACTTTTCCCTCGAAATCTTCTAAACATTATCGTCCCAAACGGCAAGAATCTCGTTCACCATCTCCAGAGCATCGACACCCTAAAGCAGCAGTAAAATGGCACAAGATTCGGCACTTGTGGTTAGACTCTGATTAAACTGAGGTTACAGACGTGTGGCTAAAGATGTTTTGATATGTATATGTATGTACAACATCTAGCTATCTGTAGTTACTAACAGTGCGCACGATGTATGTATATTGTATAAATATACCTTATGCTGACTAATCTGTCACAATTTTCATGTTTCCATACATGGAATCTAATAATTGTTTTGAGTGGAATTTTTTCAGTGTTGTATAACACTGGTGATTTATAATAACAATAAGATGGAGAAAACTGTTTGCTGGCTTGTAAATGATGTTTTTGGCATTAAATTGTTAGCTAAGGCAATGTAATTAGATCTGGGTTTGATTAACAGTGCAGCACACATATCACTCAAGCAGTTACAGTTCAGCTTTTGAGTAAATTGGAATCAAAGATTTGATGAGATACTCGGCTATTCATGTATTTAGGCAATACAGAAAGGCGCTGGTTTTTGCAGCTATTGCTTCTGTTCCATATTTGGTCGTGCTTGTTCAGTTGTTCGTGAGTTGCTACATATAGTGAGGTTTTAACAATCTCATGCAGAGTAGTAACTAAATAATACGGATTATTTTGGAGGTTCAATGTAAGTAAACAGATTTTGATGGAATCATCACAAGCAAGTACGATACAACCAGTTGTGCACAAAACCTCACTGTCTTCCAAGGGGCAAATTGATATAACAAAATATACATAATAAACAAACAAGCAGCAAATGTTAAAAGCATTATTCATGAGAATCATGACTAGAGCTCAGTAAAGGGAAGGCTTTCCATAAACAATGCCCTAGCTTTTGGATCAGTTGAAAATCGACCAAGAACTGCAATGGTGGCTGTGCTGCTCCCAAACTTCTCAACACCTCGAGAAAGCATGCATGTATGACTAGCCTCAGCTACGACTATTATGTCTCCACCAAGAAGAGGTGCCATAGTTTCGGCAATTTGTTTGGTGAGCCTCTCCTGCACCTGTAGCTTGGAACCATAGAAGTGCACAACAGACTGAAGAATGGTCTTCCCTATAGGATTCATTCCTGCAGCAGAAAAGTAGCCTACATGCACTACTCCATAGAATGGAAGCAAGTGATGTTCACACTGTGACCTTAACGGCAAGTTCAGCTCAGAATGGATCTTCATGTTGCCTTTTACATCACCATCTGATTTCCGAGGTTCCCATATCTTACTTGCAAAACCATCCAGCTTCATCTTAAAATCACGAGCCTGAAAGTTTAACAGCCAATTAAGGAATCGAGCAGGAGTACCAATAAGTTCTTTCCTTAGTTGATCTTCACCCAAAGTCCTAAGAATTGTAGCAACTGCACTGACCATATCAGGTGGAATTACACTGATTGAGGGAGCCTGGGATGGGCACCAATGACCGGTACACATACTCTTCTGAATCCTGTCAGCTAAGCTTTTCATTTTCAGAAGCCCGAAAAACTCAGTCCACATATCATTGCCAGCTTCTTTGTTTTCAAAAACACCTGAGCCTGAGGATACCACCGCCTTTTTCCACACTTCTTGGGATGGACCAACTATGGTAGACTCTAAAGTAGGAAAATCAATGTGAAGACACTCAAGGATAACAGCAACACCAGCTGGCTCGATGGAACACTGCAAAGCTAAACAAATTTCATCTGCCATACGCTGTGGATCCTGCAGGCGCTTAGCAAAGACATCAGCAACCCGAGAAAGTTTGCTAAGGCCGACAACTCTTTGCCTAGATGGAACATAACCCACATGGCATTTCACTTCAAATGGTAGCAAGCAAGATTCACAGCTTGAATAAAGATTGAGATCTCGAACAATGACAATGCCCCCAGTTCCTCCTGCCTCGCCAACTTTATCATCTTCAAGACCAGCTTCAGGAAATAGAGCACCTTCCACAATGTCATTCACGTTCTGTTTGTAACCTGATATAAGTAGAAATATCAGTGCCAACAGCCTTATGCACTAACATTTACAAATAACAAGTGTGTACATTTTACTACAGAGTTTGAAGTTGTTGAATTCAGGCACATTACAAGGGTTGAGAAAAAATGGCCCATGAGCTTAATTGCTGCTTTGGGAATAAGGATGATCGCGGTGCATAAGACTCATGTCATTATCTCAGACTACATCAGACCAAGAAGATCTATGAAGAATGAACTGAATGATCAGCTTTCGAGTTCTATCAGTCTTCTATCTTTATATGTCATCTGTATGGATATATGGTTGTGACTTGTAACTTTGTAAGCTTATATCTAGTAGCCTAAGTTTCTATTTAAAATGCTTTCTAGTTATTCCTAACATCAGATTTTCTCCTGTGTTTAAAGATGTTAGTGTAATGTGGACTTCTCTTAAGAAGGTTTATAAATGTAAAGTCTTATGTTTGTATTAAAAAAAAAAAAAAAAAAAAAAAAAAAAAAAATGTATCAGTATATAAAAGGAATCTAATCACATCCATGAAAGATTGGGGGTTGACACTTCAAGTAAAGAGGGAGGAAAGATAGAAAATTGCAATTGCATTAAAGAGAGATAGGAGGAAGAAGCCCTAATGCCCACCTATTAGCTAGGCATTTGACAAATGCCTAACTATGGTAAAATAGTAGATTTACTACTCCTTCCGCTTTATAATAAATTAATAGTTGCAACACTTTGACCGGCACACATGTCAATGTTCAACTTTGACGATTTATATTTATAATTATATATTATTGAGAAGTACAAATGGTTAATATAATGAAAATATACTTATAGACTAATCCAAATATATTTTACATGGCAATATATGTTTTTTATATACTTCATTAGTAAAAAAAAAAAATATAGTCAAAGTAAGCATATAAATAGTGTAAAAGTCAAAGTATTCATTTATTACAAAACAGAGAGTATTTGAGTGAAATAATCAAATTATAGTTAAAATATATAGAAAGACCGATAGGTGGTGTGGACCCCATTTACTTTTTACCGGACTTTTAATTACATGGAAAGAAAAAAAAGGAAGAGAGAAGTAAGGGGTGTGGGACATTTCCTTTTAAATGTGAAAAGAGAAATAAGTGGTGTGGACCCAACAAGAGCATGACATGAGACATTTTTCAATATTATATAGAGGTGTCAATAATTAAAATGGCCCAAAATAATTATACTTATCTCAAAGAACTAACTTAATCTCAAATTTAATCTACATGACACAATAATTGAGCATGATTCAAAACCAACCGATCCCAACTAGACCCAAATGAAACCCAACCAATGACCTGAATTGAGATCTCCTCTGCATAATTCTATATATGTACTAGTTAGCTTATACTCCATAACTTAACAGCTAATGTAAGCATAACTTAACAGCTAGTTGAAATAAAAAAAGGAAGGAAACATATACTTCATTTTTTTTAGTTGATGTATTTTGACTTTTTACGCTATTTATGCACTTCTCTTTGACCATGTTTTTTTAATTTATGCTTAATAAAAAATATACTCGTGGGATTTTATTAGATTCGTCGCGATATATATTTTCTAAACATCAACATTTTATAATTTTTGCTTAAAATTTATTTTTCTTACCTTTCCAGAAGAAGAAGAAGAAAAAAGAGGAAGACAGGCTTTGTAATGTGAGACAGAGGGAGTAATTAAAGATTTTTAATGGAAGAATTTATAACGTTATTAAAGAAACGTGTCAACTAAAATAAAATGTTATTACGAAAAGAAAAAAAAAATGAAAAAAAAAACCTCTAGTTGCATATCGGAGAGCCTTGGCAACACGAAGCGGGGTCTTCTTGATACCTTTGCGGTTGACGTCTTCACCCAAGCCTCCCAATAAAACTCTCACAGCAGCCTGAATCTCTGGTTCTTCTTCAACACCAATTTTCATGCAACTCACTTTCAATGTGTTTTCTAGCATCACTTCACAATTGTGCTCAGCCAAACCCCCCATTGACTCAAAACACAAGAAAAAAAATAATAATTCCTTGTATTAAAGAAAGCAAAACCCAACACCTATATATATAGCCTAATAAGTAATAATTCGATGATAATCACAACTTTTTTATTTTTTTTTTATTTTTTTTTATTTTTTTTTTATACGTAACATTTATGTAGCTAGTGCAAGAAATGTTTAGGATGGAAAATCATGTGATGGCTTATAATAAGTTATAACATTTTGATAAATTATTTATGAGAGAATAGCTTGAATTGTATTGATGATCTTGGCTATTATTTATAGTCTATATAAGATAACCTACACAATATAAACTCTATCATATAAACTTCCATAAATCTATATTAGAATATCACTAAGATATATTATTATCCTAAATATAATATCATAAGATCTATATGGAAAATATATCACAATAATATAAATTCCTATATTCCTAACACCCTCCCGCAATCGTAACGGCAGTAACACGAACGTTACGGTTGGAAATTCGCACTTTGTTGAAGTCGATCGAGTTGCACTACTCTGTTGATGTCGCCTTCAATTTTTTTATTTAAAAAAAAAAGAACTTTTGCTACTGCGGCCCTTTGCTGGTGTCCATGGTCTTCTGTCACGGCCCTTTGCTGGTGTCCGTGGTCTTTTGTCACGGCCCTTTGCTGGTGTCCGTGGTCTTCTTTGCCACGGCCCTTTGCTGATGTCCGTAATCTTCTTTGCCACGACCCTTTGCTGGTGTCCGTGATCTTCTTTGTCAGGCCCTTTGCTGGTGTCCGTGGTCTTTTGCAATTTATTTTTTTTTTGAATAAAAAACAAACGCCAAACGTGGCTTTTCTTCATCTTCATGGAGATGCAATAATGGAGGTAGCACACTCAAACACTTCAACCTAACCAAATCACATATGATCATTCATATTGATCACATACACCAATAATAACCCATGTATCACATGGTTATTCCATTAAAAAAAAAAAGATTAAACCAAAAATAGAAATTTCAAAGAGCAATACTATTGCATAGCGGAAGCAAATTTATGAATCCCACCGGTGGGTTTAATATTCTAACCCACCGGCAGGGAGAGAAGTTGTATGAACGGTCCCAAGATTTAACCTGCTCTTGATACCATGACAAATTAGAGAGAATTAGAAAATATTAGAATGGAATTGCTTGCCTTTCATTGATTTTCCTTGGGAAATATATAGAGATACAATACCAAACCTAGTCCTAGTATCATAAGATATCTTAAGATCTTTGGAAAATAACTAAAATAGAAAAGAAAAATATATGGTAAATATTCTACCAAATCACACAAAGATATGATATGATCTCAATACCCCCCTCAAGTTGGAGCGCTCGGATTGTAAGTGCCCAACTTGGAAAGAAGATAATCAAACTGGGCTTTACCAAAAGCTTTTGTAAAAATATCCGCAAGCTGTGAAGATGTCAGAACATGAGATGTAGAAATCCACCCCTCTGTAATCGCATCACGAATAAAGTGACAATCAATCTCAATGTGTTTTGTCCGTTCATGAAAAACCGGATTCTTTGCAATGTGCAGAGCTGCTTCATTATCACAAATAACTTAATTGCCTTTGGATGTTGTACTCCAAGACTCAACAACAAATCCTTCACCCATTTTAGCTCTTTAGAACACGAAGACATGGACCTATACTCAGCCTCTGAAGAAGAGAAAGAAACAGTAGGTTGCTTCTTAGTTTTCCAAGAAATAGGAGATTTTCCAAGAAAAACAAGCCAACCAGATAAAGAACGACGAGTCATAGGGCAAGCAGCCCAATCTGAATCACACCAACCCTGCAGATTTAAATCACAATCAGAGCTCAATAAAATACCTTGCCCGGTAGTCCCTTTCAAGTATCGAACCACCCTCATTGCAGCATCCCAATGTTCCTCACTACGAGGTTGCTGCATAAACTGAGACAAAATATGAACCGAATACGCCAAGTCAGGGCGTGTGACAGTAAGATAAATCAGACGACCAACAAGCCGTCTATAAGGCTCTGGATCAGAAAGAAAATCGCCTGATGCCAATCCCAATTTGTGATTTTGCTCCGTGGGAAAACCACTAGGCTTCGCTCCTAATAAACCTGTCTCAGAAATAATATCCAGAGTATATTTTCGCTGACATAAGAATAAACCTGCAGAGCTACGAGCCACTTCAATCCCCAAAAAATATTTCAAAGGACTAGATCCTTCATCTTAAAACAGTCACACAAATAGGCCTTAAAAACAGCCAATGCAGCGGAATCGTTCCCAGAAATAATCAAATCATCAACATACACTAAAACTGTAATCTGAGCATCACGAGTAGTATGAGTGAATAAAGAATAATCTGAGTAAGATTGTTTGAAACCATATTGTTTTAAGGCTGTGGTAAGTTTAGCAAACCAACATCTAGGATCTTGCTTCAAACCATAGAGTGACTTCCTTAATCTGCAAACCAATGAAGGATCTGAACTCTGAAAACCAGGCGGAAGTTTCATATAGACTTCTTCATCTAAGTCACCGTGAAGAAACGCATTGTGAACATCCATTTGGTGAATTTCCCAATTCTTTGCGGCCGCAATAGCAAGAACTGTGCGAACCGTTGTCATCTTAGCAACCGGAGCAAATGTCTCATCATAATCTACACCTGCTTTCTGATGGTTCCCATATACCACTAAACGAGATTTGAGACGCTCAACTTCACCATTAGAAAGAAACTTGGTCTTATAGACCCATTGATTTCCTAGAGCCTTTTTACCCGGGGGAAAAGGCTCCAAAGTCCAAGTACCATTGTTCTCTAAAGCTCGGATTTCTTCATTCATGGACTTACGCCAACCTTCATATTTCATAGCTTCTTTGAAAGTTGTCGGATCTTTAGTGTGAACAACAGCGGAAATAAACTTCCGATAATTCACAGAAAATTTATCACAATGTATATAATGTGCTAAAGGATACGGGGTACCTGAAGACTGATTGGAAGACGGAGATGGACTTTTAGAATATCATTTACTCCTAACACATTTACTAACACATTTACTCCGTACCATGCATTATTGACCAAGTGAGTTATAATAATTAAACTTATTAAATAGTTACCTTTAGTACTCTAATACAAGTTAACATGAAAAACGTGTATTAGATCACATGAAAATTAAACCATTTACGTGGCCTAATTACAGTGATGTTCTCGAAATTCGTGTCGATTTGAAACCAAAGGAGAGATGATTTGAAAATATGTAGGGGAAATGGTTTGAAATCTTAATCTGCTTGAAAAGATGTAGGAAATTAAAAGAGGTATTGAAATCTTAATGTTCTTGAGAAGATGTAGAGCAAAAGATGTAGGAAATATAGGTGTTGGAGAATTGAAGTGGTACGTAGGTACTACTTAATTGTGTAGTATTTATAAAGCAATAGAAAGGTGAGTAGTAAAAATAAAAATAATTTAATCTCATTTTAGTTTTAGTTTTCAACTTAATATGTCAACAAATACACCTTAATAATGAATCGGCGTTGACAAAATTGATGATAAAATCATATCTTTAATGGTTGATTTGTTACCTAAATTATTTTTCTCAAAGCTGATCTCTATCATAGGAGCCAAGGAGGAAAGGAGCAAAAGTTGATGTCTAACTTTTAAATTACCTCAAATGCCTCTAAAAGCATAAACAAAATAATATAAACAAAATGAATATAATATTTTACATAATTATGTTAGTTTTCAAAATTACCACATTTTAGAATCTCCCCAAAATATAATGCTTTAAAAGGAAATTAAAAAAATTAAAATAAAGAAATAACTAAGAATACTCCATTTGGAAAGGACACACTTAACGGTTTTTTTTTTTTTTGTATGGAAAAGTTAACCCTGTTTTGTGGTAACGTTTGAGATAGCGGTTAGCGTTTTGACCAGTCAAAATACTACTAGAAAAAAATTGAGAGTGTTTGACAAGGCAACGGTTCTAGTAGCGGTTAGCAATAAAGGTAGGGTTTAGGTAGCTTTTTTCAAACGTTAAAAATAGTAGCGTTTAGAATTAGCAAATAGCGTTTGACAAATTTTTATTACTTTTTAAACAATGTTTATATGAATTTTGATATATTTTAATATTGCAACCGCTAATTTTGCCAAACACTCATACTATCAACCGTTACTTTGACAACTAACCTCTACCCAATACTAATTGACCGCTACTCGCTACTTTAACAGCCACCCGCTACCGCTACTTTTGGCAAACGGTTCCTAAGTGGTGGTGAAATAATTTTTTTAAGTTTTTGTGGTGTTATAAGAAGTCTTTTTTTTTTTTGTTATAATCAAAATTTGGGTTTTTTTTTTACAATTAAAAATAAATAAATTTTTTTGAATAAATAAAATAAATAAAACCACCCCCTCCCCCCTGCTCGATCAACCTCCTTTGCCCCTTGCCGACAGCCACCCTCTCCTCTTTACTCCGTCGAGCCCATCCCAACACCCCATCCCCTCCACCTGGGGTGTAGAGGTGGGGGACGCCGGCAGGGAAGGTATGTCGGACGCCATCAGAAGGGGGGTAGCTCAACTGGTGATGGGGAGGGATTTTTAATATATATATATATATATATATATATATATATGATTCAATTATTAAAATAATAATAATTATTAATAACTATTAAAAAAACATAAAAAAAACTAATCATGGTTAATAATTTAATTGAAATAGTTATTATGGTAACAACAACTTTTTGGTGCAGCAGGCCACATCGTGTGGCAGGGGTTACCCGGGTTATTTTGTGAGGGATTATTCGAGTTATTCAGTTAGGGTTACTCGAGTTACTCGGTCGAGGATTACTTAAGAGGTTCAGACAGGGGTTACTCGAGTGGTTCACTTGGTCAAGGCCGGGTTAATTGAGGGGTTACTCGGACAGAGGTTACTCGAGTGGTTCACTTGATCAAGGGTTAATTGAGGGGTTACTCAGTTAGGATTACTTGAGTTACTCGGTTAGGAGTTACTTGAGGGGTTAATCGGTCATGGGTTACTCGAGTTACTCAGTCAGGGGTTACTCGAATACGTAATTCGATCATGGTTACTTAAGAGTTCGGCCAAGGGTTTCTCAGGGTTACTTGAGGGTTACTCAGTCAGGAGTAACTCAAGTAACCCCTAAACAAGTAACTTGAGTAACCCGGCAACTCGAGTAACCTCTGACCGAGAAACTCGAGTAACCCCGAATGGAGTAACCTATGTTGCACGGTACAACAAGCCGCATACAAAAAATTGTGTTATG